TGATGGCTAGGTTTCTGTAATCACCATTCAACCCCCAAAAGACAAAAAAAAAATCCCATTTAAAACAACCAAAAAAAAAATCTGGATGTCTAATCTGCAAGCTTGAAGCTACAGGGGGAAAGTTCCAGGGCGTACTTATTGCTCCAGTTGTGCATTTAATTATGATGAATCCTTCCATGATGTCTGAGCCAGGGTCCTGTCACAGCTGATGGAACAAACTTTCCGTCATCCTTACAGAATGAAAGCAGTTCCAGCGAGTGACCTCCACGCAACCTTGGGTTGGCACAGCTTTGGTGATGCAGGGTCCAGAACAGGCCTGAGGTTCTGTAGCCCACAGCTTCACAGAGCCTGAAGGCCAGTGGCTTGGAACCCCCTGATGAACCTCCGCAAGGAGAAGAGCAGACGTTGAGCCTGCCCAATGCCAGCCCCTGGCCAATAGCGTCTAAGGGACTGGCGTGCAACCCATCACAAGAGGCAGCACTGTGTAGACTGGGAGATTGAATTTGTGAGTTTAAGTGGTTGCTGGTGATGTCGCAGACAGCACCAAGGTATCCTTGATGATTCGGATGGGCAGCTGTATTTGGCCCCATAGAAACAATGTGGTCTCAAAGGTTTTACTTATTTATTTGAGAGACAGAGCTACAGAGAGAGAAAGAGACAGAGAGAGACAGAGAAAGAGAGAGAGAGAGAGAGAAAGAGAGAGAGAGAGATCTTCCATCCACTGGTTCACTCCCCAAATGGCTACACTGGCTGGAGCTGAGCCGATTTAAAGCCAGGATCCAGGAGCTTTTTCTGGGTCTCTCATGCCAGTGCAGGGGCCTGAGTACTTGGGCCATCTTCTTCTGCTTTCCCAAGCCATAGCAGAAAGCTGGATAAGAAGAGGAGCAGCCGGGACTAGAACCATTACTCATATGGGATGCAGGTGCCACAGGCTACAGCGCCAGCCCTACAATGTGGTCTCTTTAAGAAAGGGCAGGCTCCATGAATTGTTGCAAGTTGGAGTCAAGTTGGACAGTGCAGGCACTAGTTCTTTATTGATGTCAGTAGTCCCTACCAGTAAACCTCACAGAATGCCTTACTCATAGCAACTTCTCAAGACATATTTGAGGAATCACAGCATTCAGACATAGCAAAGGATTTCAGATTCAATCTCTCTTCTTTATTTCTTTATTTATGTTTAATGAGGAAACTGAGGTCCCAAGGCAGAGGAACCTGTTAGATCAAGGCTGGTTGTCAGCTGGCACAAGAACCATCAGCAGTTGCCCCAGGACCCCAGCATAAAGTTGTGCAGGCTGGGCACTGCACAAAAGCTCTTGGGCAAGGAGATGAGTAGGGTCTGAAACCCAGTCCACAACTGGACTGACAGGAGATGTGTCTTCGTCCTTTCACATCTGCTCACCAAGCCGGGTGTGGGGCTGTATCTGCTCCAAGAACCATGTGCACTGGAATAGATGTAGAAAGGCAAGTTAAGTGGACAGAGGCCCAGAGTGTCGAGCATTCTGTAGGGTTCACTGATTCCTTCTGCCTTTTTTGTAAGGAGAAACAGTGTGATTTTGCTGCTCTGTGGCCTATTGTATCATCTATCTATCTATCTATCTATCTATCTATCTATCTATCTGTCTATGGATCTACCTATCATCTCTCATTATCTACCTATCTTCATCTATCATCATCATCTTCTGTCATCTGTTTTATTTATGAATAGCCTTCAAAATGTTCATGGAAATGTGTATTCTGAAAAAATCATGCATGATTTCAAAATTTTTATACCAAAATATTCACATTTTAATTCCATTTTCCATAAACTTTTTGAAACACCCTTCTCCCTATCTGTCTTCCATCTGTCATAGCTCCACTGACCAGGATATAGCCGCTGGTGGGTGAGAATGAGGGCGGCATTCACTCCCTCTGGGGGCGCCCAAAGGGTGTTCGGCTCACACCTGTTTGGCAGACTGGGTGGTACGTGCTGAGCCATCCATGACCGGCAGCTCCTGATGAAGTCCTGTCCACAGGGTCATCATGGATGGGGCCCCAGAGGCAGATGGGGGCATCCTCCTGGGGTGCAGGGAGGTCATGATTTAATGCAGGAGGAGGGAGTCGGAGCCCTGCTGAGGCATGAAGGTGGTGAGGAAGAGCCTCCAAGAAACAGGCAAAGACAACGGGAAAGGAGGCTGCTGAGACGCTGTAAAAGTGCTTACAGGAACAGTGCAGCCAGCTCTGCGTGCCAGGGGTGAGGCAGGTGGTTCAGGCATGTGCTTGTCTTTTTTTACTCAGAACAAGAAATGAATTAGGTACTAGGTTTGTGTTTTTAAGAATCCTTTATTTTGTCCCTTTGTGAATTCTCTTGGTCACCCTGGGTCCACTCTTCGTTGAGTCTCTGCCCTGGGGTCTGGGAGCTCCAGAGAAACAGAGCTCTAACTGCCACCCCTCCAGTCCTCTCCTAACCTTTTGGGGATGGTTAGCCCTTTCCTGTACTTGTTTTAGGAGTGCCAGGAGGGCCACACAAGGCGAGGCCTCACTGCAGGGTGATCAGAGCCAATGAGCGTGGATAAAATGTCTGACTCTTCGTGGCGGGGGCTGTCTCTGATTCAGCCTTGGTTAAATGCTGGATCGTGGGACGGAAGCCATGATGGGAAGCTGCTAATAGGCACTGTGTCATCCCCAATATCTGCTACAGGGACACTAAATAAAGTGCTGGGCTGTGTGCCCTTTGCCATCAAGGAGCCTCCAGTCCATGTTAGCTTGCATGCAGCTCAGATTCAAGACAGAGGTGGCCTGTGTGGGGTTTTATTCCTAAGTACTGGCCAATGTCCCATTTTGCCAGCAGATCTCAGACATTACGTGGTTTTCAGAGGATGTTGCAGAATGAGAGTTTCTGAGTGTGGCTCTGTGTAACCTTTGAGAGGGAACTCTCAGAAGGAACCAGCCAACCAATGCATCGCCCTGTCAATTTAACAGCAGTAGCAAAGGTAGATTTTGCTTTGATCTTTGCAGCAATGAGTGCAAAAAAGAGACTCCCAAAGTGTGTGTATGTCTATGTCAGTGGGCCAGAAACCCAACTGTGAAATTTCTCCTGCTACAGTTGGACCTGAAGTTCTTGGAAGTCCCTCAGGAGCAGAGGTCCCTTAGCACATGGGCTTTGTCCCCAGCCCCAACCCCTCCCTCTTCCCAGCTGCCAGTCAGTGGGGAGGAGTGCGTTAGCACTTCAGTGTGTTATTTCATCTAATCAATACAACCATCTTCTATGTAGACTCCACTTTCTCTGGTTGTTCTTTGGGGAATTGGAGTTGAATTAGGTCAAATAACTGTGTAAAGTCATCCAGCTGACGATGAGAAGATCCAGTACTCACACCCAGGTTTCTGTGACTGCAGGGCCCTTGCTTCTGTCAAAACCATTTGCCTTGCTCATGAGCAGTAGAGGGACACCCACTGGGGGCGGAGCCCTGGCTGCGAACAGATGCACGAGCAACAGGAGAAGCATCCCTGCGTTCTCTGGGTCTGAGCCATCCTGATAACCTCACCTGCAGCGGGGGTCATGATGGGAGTCTTAGGGTCACATCAGAACAAACTGGGCTCAGTTCCATGGCCTCCGTTCAACCTTGGAACGTCAGCTTTCTTAGTTGTAGATGAGAAAAACAAGAATGTGTGCTTCATAGGTTTGCAGCAAGGATGACCTGATCCGGTGCAGGGAAGAAGCTTAGCATGGTGCTAAGAGTAGTCGGCACAGAGTAGTTGCCCAATAGGTGGATATGCAGGTAGCTTTCTGTTATTTTCATGTGAACTAGCTTGGAGAAGAAGAATGAGGCAGGTTGCGCCCTAAAAGTAGAATCAGAACAGGGCTTGAACCTGGAGATCTGGCCCGGAGGCGAGGTGCACAAGGTTCCTGAGTAGGGACCTCGCAAAGCGTGGCCTTGGGCTTCTTATTTTGCAGTCATCACCATATTTAAGGGTAAAGTGGAGGAGGTGGAGCTGCCCGTGGAGAAGGTGGACATCATCATCAGCGAGTGGATGGGCTACTGTCTGTTCTATGAGTCCATGCTCAACACGGTGATCTTTGCCAGGGACAAGTGGCTGGTGAGTGCCCCGCGCGCTGCCCCTTGTCGCTCAGCTGCCTGGCTTGCTGCTCTGGCCCTGGCTACAGCCTAGGGAGTATCAGAGGACTTCAGAGAGGACGTGAACTGGAAGGTCACCTCTCCCAGGGCCCTCACTATAAAGCAGATCTCCCGTTTCCAAGTGTCTAACTTCAGAATGTACCCATGGAGGTCTAACCTTGGAGTCTAACCAAGCTTGGAGGTCTAGCCTCTTTTGCATTCTGTCTTGTCAAGATAAGAGTCTGTCTGGTCAACAGGTGCTAGGGCTTGCATGACTGCCAGAAGGCCATGTATACTGCGCACACTGGCTGTTCCAAGCTGATGTTTTTCACTGCTCCTCACGAGGCATGGCCTCGCCCTACTTCACTAGTTCTATTAACTCCACCGGGGTCCCTCAAATTCTCCTTGCTCCAAAATAAACATTGGGCATCGCTATCCTAACCCCAACCCTGGCCCAGGCAACAGTCCCCTGAATGAGAAATGCTGGCAAGAGGGTGCTTGTCTGGTGACTCCATGTGCAGTTCAAAATGTGATGTCTTTATCAGGTGAATAGATTACGAGACCCATTTCCCCACAATTCGTCAACAGAAACCTGGAGGGCTTATGTTTCCAGACCGGGCAGCTTTGTACGTGGTAGCAATTGAAGACAGACAGTACAAGGACTTCAAAATCCACTGTAAGTCACCTTTTGCTTTCTGGAAGGGGCTTCTCTTGCATGCTGGGGGTGGGAGGCATTTCAGTGGGCCTCAGATGAGCGCTCTGGGTTGGAGCACAGCGGCCAGCCCTGTGAAGTTTATCTAAGATGCTTTCTGCCTTCTAAGAATTTCTCACTGGTCCCAAGAATGGGGAGAGCTATAGAGGCACAGCCAGCCATTCAGCTGCTCTAAGATGAGTGTCCTGGGGCGGGAGAATGAATGCAGTGGGAGCACTGGGAGCTGGGCTTTGCAGAGAAGAGCAAGGCAAGTGCTGGAAGCTTGTCGAGGTTCAGCCATCCCCAGGGTCCACAGCAGGAGTCAGAAAAGCGGGGGTTGTCTTCAGATGGACCCCCCAGCTTGAGTCCTCCCTTTGTATGACTCAGATTTGTCAAAATAATATTGATTCCCCTTTGCATCAAGCCCAGTATGCTAACGTCTTCCCTGAGGTTCTTCTGGAGACAGATAGTGGGGGTGGGAGGAATGGAGACTGCTTTGAACAATCAAACAAATGGTGTGTGTGTGTGTGTGTGTGTGTGCACATGTGCACGTTTGTGTGGAGGGACAAGGGATTCACATCTACATGTGTATTCATAATGTCTTAACAGATGAAAGCATGTGGTTCTCTTAAAAAAGTAAGGCCAAAAAGAAGTCTCCAGTTGTTTTTAAAATGAATGTACACTATTTCTGTTTTTAAAAATATTTATTTATTTATTTGAATGGCAGAAATACAGAGAAAGAGAGAGAGAGAATCAATCTTTCATCCGATGGTTTACTCCTCAAATGGCTGCAGTGGCCAGGGTTGGACCAGGTGGAAGCCAGGAGCCAGGAGCGTCTTCAGGGTCTCCCACGTGGGTGCAGGGGCCCAAGCACTTGCTTCGTGCTGTAGTGCTTTCCCAGGTGCATTAGCAGGGAGCTGGATTGGAAGTGGAGCAGCCGGGACTTGAACAGGTGCCCATATGGGATGCCAGCACTTCATGTAGAGACTTAGCCTTCTACGCCACAGTGCCAGCCCCAAGTTTCCAATTTTTAAAATCAGCATCCATGGCTGGGCCATTTCAAAGCCAGGAGCCAGAAACCTCATCTCGGTCTCCCACCTGTACAGCAGGAACCCAGTTACTTAGGTCATTATCACTGCCTCCTGGGGTCTGCATTAGCAGGAAGCTGGAGTCAGGAGCCAGAACTTGGTATGCGACCCAGGTACTTGGGTATGGGACAAGGGCCTCTTGACCAGTGTCTTAGCTGCTAGGCCAAATGCTCTCTCCTTTCCAGTGTTCTGTCTCCTCTTGAAATGGCCGTTTCATTCTATTTGAGTGTCATTTCTCAGTAATGCAGACCCGGTCCTTAATGAGATTATAGCAAACGTATTTTCATAAGGGCAGACACAGTCGTGTCTCCTGAGCCAGAGCTAAACATTACCAAAGGGGCAGAGACTCACTCAAAGAAGCAAGGACGCAAATGACCAAATCAAAGTCAAGAGGTAGCAGTGCCAAAACTGTCTGACAGAATCAGCGAATCTAAGATTCCTTCCCAAGAGTGTTGGGTGGTGAAGCCCTGCTCGGCAGGATGACGGCGGAGGGGTTCACAGATGTTCTAAATAACTCCCTCCTGCCCCGAGAGGCTAAGAGTCCACAGCTCAGCAAGTTGTTGCTTTATGGATCCACACAATTGCCATTGAATTGTTAATGTTACTGGCAGGAACTCACCCAGACTGTCCTATGCAAGGTGTATTTTATGTGTACGCCCTCTGGAAAGTACAAAGTCCAAGTACCAAGTTTAGAGCCAAGCTCAAGGCAAGGCAGGCCCTGTGCCCTGGAAGCCATCCCAGCTCACTGTGTGTCCCAGCAGGTCTGCCGTGGTTTCTAATGTTGCACCCCCAGAGTGATTGCTGGAGGTAGAATTCCCAGGAAGAGCAAGGAGAGGTTGGGTGGCCTGGATCACGTGTTTGTTTGTTTGTTTTTATTTTTTTACAGGCAGAGTTAGTGAGAGAGACAGAGAGAAAGGTCTTCCTTTTCCGTTGGTTCACCCCCAAATGGCCACCATGGCTGGCGCACTGCGCCAATCCGAAGCCAGGAGCCAGGTACTTATCCTGGTTCTCCTATGTGGGTGCAGGGCCCAAGCACTTGGGCCATCCTCCACTGCCTTCCCGGGCCACAGCAGAGAGCTGGACTGGAAGAGAAGCAATCTGGACAGAACCGGCGCCCCGACCGGGACTAGAACCCGGAGTACTGGTGCCGCAGGTGGAGGATTAGCCTAGTGAGCTCCAGCACTGGCCGTGGGTCACTTGTTTTGAAGTCTGCCAGTCCTGGGTTTAAACTTGGCTTGGCCATTTCCCAGCTGGAGAACCTGAGCTAACTGTACCTTGGAGCCCCAATTCGAGATGACGTCATCCACCCCATAGACTTGTCCTGAGGACTGAGTGACACGATGTGCGTTAAAGGTTCTTTTGGGGTTCTCATCCCTAAGCATGTAACTGGCCCTTTCCTGCTCGTGACTGGAAAACACGTCTGACTGCCACACCTGTTGGTCTCCAGTGGCTTGGAATCTAGGACAGACATCCTCTCGCGGAGGATTGCAGAAACAACTAAACAGTGAGCGTTGAGCAAATGCATGGATAAACAAAGCGTAATTTGCCCGGGAGCCGCCTTTTGGAGGTCTTGTTGCGCACTTGCACTGAGCAGTGCTTTTTTAAGAGAACCTCCAGGACCATCTTGATTCTCACATCCCTCCAAATATTTACTGAGCTCCAAGCCCAGGCTCAGCTCTTTAAGGAACTTCCTCCCAGTTTCCAAAACAAATGCACCTCCTCTGTGCCTTCCTTCCACCGGGCTGTGCTGGGAAGGCTCTGGAGTGTGCACATGGGGATGAGCCAAGCCCGGGCCATTTGACAGAGGCCTGTCCCGGCGAAGAGCTGGCAGCCCTGCCTGGAGATCATGTGATTTATGATTCCCATTGCAAGCCTCATGGCTTCTGCAAAAAAAAAACAAACAAACAAACAAACAAACAAAAAAAAAAACAAAAAACAAAAAAACCTCAGCCCTGTTTTCCTGTTTTTCCTTGTGGAGGGCTTGTTTTGGAGTCTCTGTCCAAAAAAACTCTGAAGACAAACATGTAAAATGTATTTAAAATATCAAGTTTTATATTAATTTTTTAAGTAAAGGAAGGAAACTCATTTAGAAATCTGTTTCAAACACATGGGGATGTGGCTTACTCTGCGTTCTAAATCAAAAGTAAAGCCCAAGGCTGCCGGTTGCCAAGGGAACAAGAGTAAGCAGATTTCCAATGGCCAAGAACCAGCTGAGAGGGAAGAAGCTTAGAGAGGCAGGAGAGCGAGACGTGCCCAGCCCCTTTCAGAAAGGAATTGCTTAGGGAAAAGCGTCCCCTCCTTTGATCCTCCCTCCCCTCCTTTCCTTTCTCATCCACATGCAACGTGGGCACACCAGAATGCAGGAGGGGCCGGTGTTGGGACGCAGGGGGCTACGCCAGGGCTTGCCACACCAGCGTTCCACAGAGGAGCTCTGATGTGAGACCTGGCTGCTCCATTTCTGATCCCGCTTCCTGCCAATGTGCCTGGGAAAGCAAGGTAAAGTGGCCCAAGTACTTGGGTCCCGGCCACTCACGTGGGAGATCCCGATGAAGATGCAGGCTCCTGGTTTCAGCCTGGCTCAGTCCTGGCTGTTGTGGGCATTTGGGGAGTGAACCAGCACAGGGAAGATATCTGTGTGTGTGTGTGTGTATGGGTGGGTGGGTGTGGGTGTGTGTCTCCCTCTCTGTCCCTCTTCCTTTTAAATAGATAAACAATTCTTTAAACAAATTTAGCAAAATGGAGAATCTGCCCTCAACTTGCTCACCAGTTAGTAGAGAATATATGTCTTGTTGAATGAATGTGGGATAAAATAATCCAGTAGAAGATGTACAAAGTGCACTGTTTAACTGTGAGAGGAGCAAGCACTTAAAACATTGTCTACTGTAGAGGGGATTTATAGAATCTCAGAATAGGAAGGAAGGTTGGTGGTTGTTCTATTCAATTTCATACCCAGTGCATGAAGCCCCCCCCCATACATGAGTCTCCAGCCTGCTAGGAGACAGAGGGGTGGATATGAGCCTATGCTGCAGAGTAGGCTGGAAGGAAGAGTTCACGGCGAGACAGCTGTGCTACAGCTGGAGCCTGGGGGTGGGGAGTCAGTTGCTGCTCGTGAGTTTCTCCTCCATGTCCACATCCAACATCCAGAGGTCTGGCTCATTTTATGCAAGACTTTCTGGCTAAAAGTCTAAAATGCATGAAATGATTGTAAACACCTTTTCCCTTTAGCCTAAAGGGGAAACTGTATTAGACCCTGGTAGAACTTGCTGGCTTTCTGACAGCATTTGGAGGCATCGCCAGTAGCCCTAGGGGAGAAACTGGAATTACTGGAGCAATGTGAAGAAGGGGGATGCAGCTGCAGCTCTCGCCCAAAGCAGTCAAACTTATCGCAGTCCTCCTGTTTATTTTTCTTTTGTTGTTTTTCAGATTTCTCCCCTCTATTTTGATTTCCAGAAGTTTGACTTGGAGGTGTCTAGGTGTGGTTTTGTTTGTATCTATCCTACTTGGGGCTCTATGCAATTCTTGCATCTGTGAGTGATTACTTCATTAGTTCAGGAAAAATGTCAGCCATCATTTGTACAAATGTATCTGTCGCTCTGCTTTTCTCTCTCTTCTCCTTCAAGGACTCTCATTACAGATATGTTAGATGTCGTTTGATACTGCCCCATAGATCTTGGATATTCTATTTCTGTTTTCATTCTTTTTTCTCCTTATGTTTAAGTTGGGATCATTTTTTATTGACGTTTTCAAGTTTGTTGATGATTTCCTCTGATAATTTTGCTAGTAATCTCATGAAAGGATTCTTCCTCTCTGATATTGAGATTTTGATTTCTAGAATCTTCATCACCTTTTTATAAAGCAGTTTTCTTCTCACTGATGAGAGTCCCCATCCATCCATGCATATTGTCTACCTTTCCCACCTTTCTTCAACAAGTTTATTATCATGACTTTAAAGTATCTGTTGGGTGATTCCAATATCTGAGATACATCTGAATCTGCTCCTATGACTATTTCTTCTTTTGATGATAGATAATATTTTGTCCTTTTTAATTAGTCTTGTAATTTTTTAATTAACACTGGACATAGTGAGTAAAAGAACACCAGATGGGAGGTCTGTATTGTGGTGCAGCAGGTTAAGCTGCTGCGTGTAATCGGGCACCCCATAGCAGAGTGTTGGTTCAAGTTGCAGTTGCTCTGTTTCCAACCCAGCTCCCTACTAATGCACCTGGGAAAGCAGTGGCTACCCTGAACCTGGATGGAGTTTCTGGTTCCTAGATTTAGCCTGGCCCAGCCCTGAGTGTTGCAGCCATCTGGGGGAGTGAACTGGGGATGGAAGATCTCTCTCTGTGTGTGTATGTGTGTGTGTCTAGCCTCCCCGCAATCTGTCGCTCTGCCTTTCAACTAACTTTTTTTTTAAGATTCTTATTTATTTATTTGAAAGTCAGAGTCACACAGAAAGAGGAAGAGAGGCAGAGAGAGAGAGAGAGAGAGAGAGAGAGAGAGAGTCTTCCACCCGCTGGTTCACTCCCAACTGGCCACAATGGCCTGAGCTGCACCAATCCGAAGCCAGGAGGCAGGAGCTTCTTCCAGGTTTTCCACACAGGTACAGGGGCCCAAGGACCTGGGCCATCCTCCGCTGCTTTCAAAGATCACAGCAGAGAGCTGGATCGGAAGTGGAGCAACCGGGACTTGAACCGGCACCCACATGGGATTCTGGTACTGCAGGCAGTGGCATTACCCGCTACGCCACAGTGCTGGCCCCTGCCTTTCAACGAACTAACTACATCTTTTAAAAAAAGAACAATAGAGATAGGAGAATAATATTTATGCCCAGAGAAGAAGCTTGCCTTTTTTCCTGCCAGGCTATTAGAATGGGGAGTTGAGTCAGGATAGTCTGTGGTAATGGACTCTGTTGTGTCTTCAGTTCCATTCGTTGTACAGTCCATTCCAGTTTATTTTAATCCATAAACAACAGAGTCGCAGGCCCCTCTGATGTTACTTTTTTAATCTCTAGATAATTGGTAACTGTTTCCTGGTAGCCAATGGTCCTTATGTTTATCCATTTAACATACTTGCAACAGAATTTTAATTGGCTTGTATCCTCTCCAGTCTCTGCTCCACGGCTGGTAAAGGGGTCTGGTGGGAAATAAATGGTCAGCAGAAGCAAGGAAAAAAATCAAATGCTCTGGCTGATCTGCTCCCTAAGTAACTGAGGCTGGGTAGAAGATAGGAATGGACTCCTAGTAAGGTCATTAAAACACCCGGCATTGTGGAGCAGAGCAGGTGTTAAAGGTTGGGAAGGGATTTCTTTCTTACTTATCCATCGGAAAGGCAGAGCGATGTGTGGGGGGAGACAGATAAGTTCCTTCCATTGGTTCACTCATCATATGGCTTGGAATTGCCCATGTAGAAGCAGATTCATAAAAATCTGGCTTCCTGGGTCTCAAATCTGGAGATGATTCAGTAGGTCTGGTTGGGCTCTGGAGCCTCTATTTTTTTTTTAAAAGATTTATTTTTATTTATTTGAAAGACAGAGTTACACAGAGAAAGAAGGAGAGGCAGAGAGAGAGAGGTCTTCCATCTGCTGGTTCACTCCCCAGATGGCCACAACGGCCAGAGCTGCACTGATCTGAAGCCAGGAGCCAGGAGCTTCTTCCGGGTCTCTCATGCAGGTGCAGGGGCCAAGGACTTGGGCCATCCTCTACTGCTTTCCCAGGCGATAGCAGAGAGCTGGATCGGAAGAGAAGCAGCCAGGACTAGAGCCGTTGCCCACATGGGATGCCAGTGCTTCAGGCCAGGGCATTAACCCTCTGTGCCACAGCACCAGTCCCCTTGAGCCTCTAATTTGAAAAGTGTTCCCAATGATTCTAGAACACAGAGCCACTGAACCAAAATCCTCATGTATAATTAAGCTCAGAGAAGGGGATTGAACTGCACATGGTCATACAGCTTGGATGGCAGCAAAGCCAGAGTTCAAACCATGTAACAATAACAATGCCCAAATTCTTCCTATGTGCCAGACACACTGTCTTGGGCATTTTACATCTGTGGTCACATTTAGTCCTCATTACAGCCCTGTGTGATAGCCATCATTGTTATCATTCATATTTTAAAAGAAGATTTTATTTTTATTTATTTGAAAGGCAATGTGACAGAGAGAAAGGAGAGACAGAGATCTTCCATCCAGTGGTTCACTTCCCAAATGGCCGTAACAGCCAGGGCTGAAAACCAGGTGCCCAGAACTCCATCTGGGTCTCCCAATTGGGTGGCAGAGGCCCAAGTTTGGGCCTCTATCCATTGCCTTCCCAGATACAGTAGCAGGGAGCTGGATTGGAAGTGGAGTAGCAGGGGCTTGAACCAGCGCTTATATGAGAAGTTGGCGTCCCAGGCGACTGCTTAGCCCACTGCACCAAATGCCATCATTGCCATTTTAAAGGAGAAGAAACCAAAAGACAGAGAGCTCACATTCTTACCTAAGGACTTTAAGGTGGGATCCATGGAGGGGAAGAGTAGGTGCTCGGCTGCAGGTGTCTTCAGCAGGGCCACCTGTATCGGGATGCGTGTGTCACCCTGGAAGAAGAAGGAGGGCTATTTCCAGATTCTAGAAGGGGCTCTCCGAAGCCCATGCTGTGGCATCCTTCCCCAACATACAGGTCCCCTGGGAGTCTGGCCACAGCTTGGGTGCTCTCATAGGACATGACTGGCGTCTCATCTTCAAACCAGAATTTCCCAAGCGCTCCCCCCACCCCCCACCCCTGTCTGGGAGGTGACTGCTTTCCCAGCCTTCTTCTCCCAAAGGAAGGTCTTTGTGTACCTTTAAAAGGAATCTGAGTCAAAGAAACAAAGCCTCCACTGAGGGCTCCCCCTCCCTCCTCACACGTCCACTCTCCTAAGCATTCACAGGGACCATTTGTGTGATCAGCATTTTTAAAGAAAATTGAAATTTATTAAGCGTTCGGAGAAAAGTATCTCCACTTCAAGGCACCTGAATAAACAGATACGTGCATGCGAGGCGGCTGCCCAGTAACTGACTCTGCTAAAGACATTCTTTCTGCAGAGCCCATGGCCTTCCTGCTGGCTGTCACAGTGGGGTCTGTGTAGCAGAAGGCACAGGGGGCGGGCTGGGCTGGAGCCCCGCCTCCACCGTTGTCCTGATGAATGACACTGGGCTGGGAGACTGAGAGCCGCAGGCCCGCTTCCCTCCAGCCTCCCTTTTCTTGTCTGTGGCTTAGAGATGTTCTCATGGGTTGCTGGGAGAGTCTGGCTTAGGCTTGGTGATCAGTCGATGATGGCGATTACTACTACTATTTAAGAGTGATCTGGGGCCCTCACACTTGCATCCATCTATTCACCAACTCCTGCCCCCTAAATCCCCCCCCCCCAAGCAAAGGGTCCTTTGAATAGCCCAAAGAGCCCAAGAGGCACAGCTGGGATGGCTGCTGCCCCACCGGGTGGTATTTTTGATGGGATGGGTCCTCCATGAATGCTTCCTAGCATAAAGAAAGGCCAAGGCCGGCGCCATGGCTCACTAGGCTAATCCTCCACCTGCAGCGCCAGTACTCCGGGTTCTAGTCCCAGTTGGGGAGCCAGATTCTGTCCCGTTGCTCCTCTTCCAGTCCAGCTCTCTGCTGTGGCCCGGGAGGGCAGTGGGAGATGGCCCAGGTCCTTGGGCCCTGCACCCGCATGGGAGACCAGGAGAAGCACCTGGCTTCTGGCTTCGGATCGGCGCTGTGTCGGTGCTGTCTCGGCTGCAACTCCGCCGGCTGTAGCGGCCACTTTGGGGGTGAACCAATGGAAAAAGGAAGATCTCTCTCTCTCTCTCTAACTCTGCCTGTGGAAAGAAAGAAGAAGGAAAGAAGGAAAGAAGGAAAGAAGGAAAGAAGGAAAGAAGGAAAGAAGGAAGGAAGGAAAGAAAGAAAGAAAGAAAGAAAGAAAGAAAGAAAGAAAGAAAGAAAGAAAGAAAGAAAGAAAGAAAGAAAGAAAGGCCGAGTTGCCCCTTGCACCTGCCCAGGTGGGGTGCCTGAGGTTCAGAGAGGTCAGGTTATTTGCTCGGGGCCTGAGCAGCGAGTGGCCGTGCTGCGTCCACGGCACCTGCTGAGGGCCTCTGTTTCTTCCTGCTACGTTACCGCCTCCGTGGGTGCAGGTGGGAGAAGGGAGAGAGGTGGGCCCTCCCAGGGAGGCAGAACAGCTTGTGCAAAGGCATGGCAAGGAGACCATGGATAACAGCCGGGGGAGTTCACAGGGGCTGGGACAGTGGACACTGGCGACCCCGGTACCTGGGGTCCTGGTCTTCTCCCTGTTGCATTCTAGCTGCGTGAGCTGGGAGAAGCTGCTCTCAGCTCTAGTTCACCTCGCCACCAAGGAGGTGGTGCAAATGAGACCGTGTGAATGTGCATTTGGCACACAGCAAAGCTCCCGACCCGGGGGCAGTTCTCTGCTGACTTGGAAGCAGGGGGACACGAATGGCCCGTCCCCATCTTGAGCACGCTGCGCTGTGTTCTTCAGGGGAGCTGGGTTAGCTTCCGGGGAGTCCTGCTGCTCACCTCAAGGTCTTGCTCTGTTTCTGCAGGGTGGGAGAATGTGTATGGCTTTGACATGACCTGCATCCGGGACGTGGCCATGAAGGAGCCCCTGGTGGACATTGTGGATCCAAAGCAAGTGGTGACCAACGCCTGCTTAATAAAGGTCTGGGGACTCATCCTGGTTGGGCCCGGGCATGCTGGGAACCTGGCTGTGCCACCCTAGGAGGCCAGCCTGGGGTGGGCCTGGGGTATGGGCGGTAGCAGCCTAGAGAGGAAAGGCCACGTGGGTCAGGGCCCGTGGCACTCCACAGTGAGAAGTCAAAAGTGGACTGAGCAGAGCCACAGAGAGAAGGATTGTGTGGGGGGCATGGCTGAGGGGCGTGGGTGGTGCTGGGGGCAGGATGGGAAGTGGGGGAAGAGGAAGGGACATCAGAGGAGAGACCAGGAGGGTCTGCCCAGGTTTGCGGGGAGCTCGTGTGTTCAGAGGGGACGTCCGTCTTAGGAATGAAAGCCGATGCCTCCAGACGCTGAGTGACCAGGCATCCTTGGGCCTCTCCCCTGCCCAGCAGCCTCCGAGCCCCTTCCTGAGCATCCGTGTTTGTGCCTGCTCTAAACATCTCTTCTTCCAAGGTCTTCCCCAGTGCAGGTGAAGTACAGCTGAGACAAGCACGCTCACCACACCCAAACCTATATTAGCTACAGGCGAAAGGTGCCCGCCCTATGCCTCCCCTCCCCTCCCAGCCTCCTCCCAGGGGAAACCATGAATCTTCCCAGTCCTTTTTCTATGCACTTGCCTTTGTAGATGCTAACACTTCATGCTGAAGCATATAAATTGGTGCTATTTCATTTTTTTAGACATTAAAATTATTTACTTTTTTTTATTTATTGGAGAGGCAGACAGATAGAGATCCATCCACTAATTCATTCCTCAAATGCTTGCCACGGCCAGGGCTGGGCCAAGGCGAAAGCTAGAAGCACTTCTTTTTTCTTAAATTTAAATGTAAAAATATATCAGTTTCATATGATTCAAGCTAATTTTCCAATTTAAAATCATGGTTTCATTATGAAAGCGTTCGTCCTCCCACGAGACTCTTCCCGTGCGCTCTGGTCCTGTGTGCATCACTGTGTTCCTGCAAGTGCTGAGGCAGGGCTGGGGCAGCTAGCAGGATCCAGGGGGAAGAGCCCGGGGCTGGTGCAATGAGGGGGAGTTTCTGGACGGCTGATACAAACTGCTGCCATGTCCCGAAGAGAACAGTCCTTCTTCCCTGGACACGCAGAACTGCACCCTGGCCCAGAGTGTCCCAGGTATCTAGATGGGGACCAGATGAAGAACCCCCAACAGGCCTCATCAGACACCCTCTCTCTTTTGTAAAGTTCTGCCTGAGAGGTCAAGTCCAAACCTTTGACTGTCCATCACAGGATTCTGTCTTCACCTCCTCTATTTATTTTCTTGCTGTGAAAAGCAGAGTTATAGAGAGACAGCTAAAGACAGAGAGAGGGATCTCCCATCTGCTGGTTCCACTCCCCAAATGGCCACAATGGCAGGGCCTGGGCCAGGAGCCTGGAACTCCATCTGGGTCTCCACAGGGATGGCAAGGATCCAAGTACTAGAGCCATCTTCTGCTGCTTTCCCAGGTGCATTAGCAAGGAGCTGGATCAGAGGTGGAGCAGCCAGGGAGCCAGACACTCCGATATAGGAGGCTGGTGTTGCAGGCCGTGGTTTACCTGCTATGCCACAATGCCAGGCATCTCGCTGCTTCTCAGATCAGCCTATTCGGAGTCCAGACACATGTGCGCAAACATGCACTTTTAGTTATTCCCGGCAGCCCCTCCGTCCCTGAGGCCTCTTCCTCTCGGTTTTCCCAGCAAGAGCACGGAAAATGCCCTCAGAACAGGTAGCACACCCCTGAGGGAGAGGATTTCTGTAAACCTCGTAGGTAGGTGCAGTCGAATTTGCCCAAATGTTGCCCAGCAGTTAGCTCTGGCAGTGGGCACCTGCATGGCATGGCTTCGGCTTAAGGATGGCATGCCTTCTTGAAGCCTTGATTATTGGCTTTCTGCCCCCGACCCCAGGCCCGACCTGCAGGTGTGGTCACTGCGATTCTGTTTGTCTCCAGCTGGTCACATGATGGTCTGGCCTGGGTCTGTCACCCGTGGGCCACACTGGTCTCCCTCCTGCCTTTCCTCCACTTGCAGACAGGAGCTAGCAAGCATGGTTCCCTTGGTTACACCTGTGTGTGTCCAGGGGCAAAGCAGCCAGACTTTTCAGGAGGGTTGAGAGGTCCGGGTCTCCCACACACACTCCTCCTCGGAACCCCCAGGGGCTCTGATTGTGTCTCGGAACTGGAAGAGGCAGTGCTGCCCCGCCTCTCCCCCAGGCCCGCACCTTCCTGCCTCTGTTTACTAAGGGCAGGGACCGCCTGGGTTGGCTCCTGCCCCCGTGACAGCCCCTCCGTCAGCTCTCTCACCCATGTGCTAAGAACGTCGCACTGAGCCTGTTGGGAAAACACTTGCCCTGCTTCTCACATTAATTGCCATTTTCGCCACTATTAACATGGCAGAGTGTGACACCTTATTACAATGAAGGCCCTGTTTTGACCAGGCTTACGCTTGGAGACATCATCTGTGGCACTGCTTGGTGGTGGGCTTAGCAGCCCTCGGGTCCTCTAATTTATGCCTGCGGGGCCCTCTGGGCTCTGGGGCCTCAGAAAAGGGCTGATCTGCAGATGTCCAGTGGTCGGGGGTGGTGCTGAGCCTGGGGGTCCTTTGTGTCTCAGTCGCCCAGGAGCAGCTGGTCCCACTCTCACAGATGGCCAGGCCCACCCGCCTCCCTTGGTGCCATTTGCATGCAAAGTCCCTACAGCTTCCTTACTCAGTCTGGAAGGCTTTTGTTCTGGTCCAGGCCCCCTATTGAGATGCAAATGTCCCTAGACCCATGGAACAGTGTGACAGCTGACATCGGGTTGATGGACATTTGAAAGCAAGACCCTCTGGAGTTGGAATTCCTGTGAGATGGAGTGGGGTGTGTATGTGTGTGCAGGCGTATGAGTGAGGGGAGTGATAGAGAAAAGAATCAGGTCCAAATGGGAAGGTGTAGGGAGCCATGGAAGGTTGTAGGTCCCGGGTGTGTGTGTGTGTGGGGGGGCACTGAAGAGGTTAGTCAGGTGGCCGTCACGAAGAAGAGGCCTAGGAAGGAAGGCAGTTTAAGCAGGGAGACTGGTTCCCGTGAGGGGCAGTCTGATGGTGGAGGCAAGGGCTGCTGGGAGGCCACGCAAGGCCGGTGGCCAAGGAGACCAAAAGAGGAGGCACTCGAGGGCTTTGGGAAGCGCCTGGAGCCTGGCTGGCCGGCCCTGGCGGAGAAGAGGGGAGAGTTGGCGAGTGAGGGTGCGGGGAGCCCCGTGGACCTGCAGATACTGTTAATAAAACTACAGGGCACCATGGCTTTTCCTGCAGGGACTCTGTGGGAGGTTAATGAGCACCACAGAGGCTGGCGACGCTGGGTCTAAGGTTTCCCAGACTGGAACCAGGGCCCAGAGTAGCAGGATGACACAGGACGCAGGGCCCTCTGCACAGGAGGTTTGGGGTGGAGGAGGGCACGCCCTTCAAGAGAGTGCCCCCAAAGAGGAAGGTGAAGGACCCCCCACACGGGGAAGGACAGCATCACACACGGGGAGGAGAAAGGCCAGGGTGCCGAGAGGGCAGGCACCAAGACCTGGGAAAAATGAATGAAGAGCCAGAAGGAGTTCACGCTGGAGAGGAAGAGGTGGGGGGCCCCGTGTGAGCTGGCACCGGCGTCGGTCTTCCTCTGTGGGCAGAAGTTGCACAGAGGTGGGGGGGGCTCTCTTCCTTCGTCCTGGAGACAGACCCGCAGTCTGAAGCGGGGCTCCTGGCTGGGAGTCCTAGAGCTTCTAGTGCAAAGGGGCCCTCACAGTCTGCACGCCCCTCCCAGGGCTCCCAGGACCCTCAGCTCTCCTCCCAGGCTCTGGGCTCTAGGAATGCAGTGCCCTTTGCACCTGAAAGCTGCAGCAGCCCACCAGCCCTGCAATGCCACCCTCTCCCCACCACCAGTGAGGAAGGGTCAGCTTCCTGGGGCTCTCGTCTGATTGGCTCCTTCTATCACTCTTGCTCCCCTGTCCACCCCTGCAGACGCGGGGCCTCTCTCTGAAGGCCTCAGGCTGTACTGCATCTCTTTTCCTTTATTTAGCCTGCACGTTTATAGATATATATAAAAAAAAGCCCTCTGCCTCCCCACCGTGGAAGGAGCCCAGAGCAGCCAGGCCTTCCTCACAATGCTCTCGTGAGAACCACCAGAACCACCTCCCGAGGAAATGTCCCCAACGGCCCAAGGTCCTCCAGCAGTGCTACCTCCTGATGGTCCCACCGCCCCCCATGGTGCCACCCCGGGGCCCACTCTGACCTTTGGGGGTTGCCCACATTAGTCTCAGCCCATGGCACTATGCAGGTCCACACACCGCTATCCTTGCTACACAGCTGTGACAAATAGAGAGCTCTTCATTGAGGACTCAGGGAATCCGGTGGCTGGCCCCTTGAACTCTTAGCTGGTTTATTCTCACCTCCAGGGAGCCAGCAAACAGCAGGTCAGCATCCATCACACGGGAAGGACCAGCGCCTTGCAAGCCTGCCTTCCATTATACTTGCTCCCCACAAGATTGATTTCCAGCCACTTCCTGCCTGAAATTGTGAGAATTATTAGTTCTTTGTGTCCGACGTTCCCCAGCCAGAGCTGAAAATTCTCAGCTCTTCTTTTCCTCTTTTATTTCTTTTTGAAGCCTGCCCAGCCTTGTTATAAATGGCCGGCACAACTTGCCAGAGCTCAGGCTGTGGGTTCAGGAGCTCAGGTCTTTACTCCTGGGATAAGATACTCCTGATGCCTCCGTTGCTGGGGACTGGAGTATCCAAAAGTCAGGCCACGTGGTTCCTGCGAATCACAGGGAGACGGACTGGGGCTTTGCTGGAGTGCGTCTGGGAGGCACTCCCTGTCCCCCTCAGAATTCGCTCCCAGGAGAAGGCAAGGCTGATCACCCAGGGAGCACATGTTGAGAATGACCAGGCGAACGCTGCAAGCTCAAGTGGACAGCACTGAGAGCTATGGTTGGGTTTAGGGATGCATCACCCCACGAAGCTTCCCCCCCGCCTCTCGCCCCACGGCCCTCAGATTTGGATTCAAATCTGCTTGCACCATCACCTGACTGCTCTCCACCCTGGAAAGGACGGGGAGGTCCCTGGCAGGTGGCAGGTGGGCTCGGCCATGCCCCTCCCCCGAGGGTCTGGCTGCGGGTGCTGCTGCTGGCAGGGACACAGCCGCTGTGGAGGCCCTAAGCTCCTGGTGTTCTGTCTCCTCTGGGCTGCAGGAGGTGGACATTTACACGGTGAAGACGGAAGAGCTCTCGTTCACATCTGCGTTCTGCCTGCAGATCCAGCGCAATGACTACGTCCACGCCCTGGTCACCTATTTTAATATTGAATTTACCAAGTGCCACAAGAAAATGGGGTTTTCCACAGGTAAGCCGCCTACGGGCTCTCCAGCCTCTTCTCTCCTCTCCCAGCCTTCCCTGGGGCTCTGCGGGGAGTGACCAGGGCTGGCCTGGCTGTGGAGGGCGGGGAAGGGGCCAGGAGTTAGCCAAGATCCTCATCTGACTTCTCATGAGCTTTCTCTGGCCGTGGGGAAACTTCATGTCCCCTATGCTTCGGGCTGCCCAAGGAGAAAGTGAGCAGAAGCGCTGGGCGTGGCCAGAGCTGAGCTGAGGCTGAGGCAGGAGGCGGGGCTGAGGTTCTTCCAAGGCACCTTTGCTCAGTGGGTTTTTACGGAGCATCCTCCGTGTGAGTGGGTGAGATGCCAACTTGAATACGGTTTCTACCACTGCCGTGCCGCGGGACAGGGCTCAGCCCCAAGCTGCCTTCATTAAACCCCTGTCCGTGGTCCCAAGATACCACCGCTCACTGGCTTCGGCCCCTTCCTGTTGCTGCAAGAAAATCCTTGAGACTGAGTCATTTATACCAAATAGAGCTTTCATTAACTTTCATTAGCTCATGCTTCTGGGGACCGGGAGGTCCAGGAACGTGGTGCCAGAGCTTTCTCGCTGCGTGACAACATGGTGGAGGGCTTCGCAGGGCCAGATGGGGCAGGTGTGCTGGAGAGAGCTGGCTTCTGCAATGTTGGTCCATTCGTCCGTTCCTGAAGGCAGAGCCTTCGGGCCCCAATCATCTCCCAAAGGTCCCGCCTCTCCACGGTGCCACACTGGGGACAAAGTTTCCAGCACCTGCAGCTCTGGGGGACGCATTCCAACCACAGCACCCACCCAGCCCCTCTTCAGAGACGCCTTACTGCTTGCAGTCCATCAGCCCCGATTTCTTATCTTCGCTGATGGAGGACCCAGGAGCTGACCCCTGCCCACCTCTCCAGCCTCAGCACAGGCTTTGTTTCTCAGCTCAGGGGTTCCTGGGTCCCTTCTTCCCTTCTGGGCCAAGGGCAGGGGTCCTTCCCAGTCTCCCTAACAGCCCCTGTGCATGTCTGGCATGGTGACAAAACGCAAGCTGTACAATAGGGACCAAGAATTAGGGGACAAATCCTGAGCCTCCCCCATCCCAATCCCACTCCTCAGAGGCATAGATTATTAATGATTTCTTTGTATTCTTCCAAAAAATGTCAGTGGCTACACAAGCACACACACATACCTTTCTTTTTCTTGTGAAATAGCTGTAGATTCACAGGAAGCCGCTAAAACGGCCCACAGGGTTCCGTGGACCCTATACGTAGCCTCACCGTCGGTGGCGTCTTTTGTAACTAGCACAATACTGAAACTACTCCTCTTTAAAATCAGAGGCTGAGTCATGCCAGCCACTGCCCTCTGCTCCCTTTTACTTATTTAACAGCACATCTTGGGGAGACTTCCCTGGCCTCATGGAGATATCTATTTTCTTTTCGTAAACAGCTCTGCAGGATTCCAGTGTCGGGTGTGCCATCACTTAGTCAGCCTTGCTTCTCTTTGTTTGCATCCCTCAGTTGCCCCTATTAAAAGGGTCACCTCTTGTTCATCTCTGCTTCTAGAAGTTTCCTTTGCCTTCCAAATGTGTGGGCTCCATTCTCTCTCTCCATGACCTTGAGTTTGCATTGATCTCCCAACAACAGATGTCTGTTCAGTGAGGAATTAAGGACATAGCTCCTGCCTTTGGGAGTGTGCTCATGCTTATTTAAGAGTCTTCCTAGCCGGCGCCGCGGCTCACTAGGCTAATCCTCCACCTTGCGGCGCCGGCACACTGGGTTCTAGGTCCGGTCGGGGCGCCGGATTCTGTCCCGGTTGCCCCTCTTCCAGGCCAGCTCTCTGCTGTGGCCAGGGAGTGCAGTGGAGGATGGCCCAAGTGCTTGGGCCCTGCACCCCATGGGAGACCAGGAGAAGCACCTGGCTCCTGCCTTCAGATCAGCGCAGTGCGCCAGCCACAGGGCGCCGGCCGTGGCGGCCATTGGAGGGTGAACCAACGGCAAAAGGAAGACCTTTCTCTCTGTCTCTCTCTCTCGCTCTCACTGTCCACTCTGCCTATAAAAAAAAAAAAGAGTCTTCCTGGGAACTGGGAGTGTGTGGTCAGGGGGTGAGGGGTCACGGGGTGCAGGTGTGTGTGGAGTTGGTGGTGAGGAGGTGAGGCAGAGCCCTCCTGTAATTTGACGATGGACTGTCCACTTTCCAAGGCCGTGATGACAATGATCCATTAAAAAAAAACACATTTATTTATTTATTTGATAGGCAGAGTTACAGAGAGGTGGAGGCAATGTGTGTGGGGTGGGGGAGGGTCTTCCATCCGCTGGTTCATTCCCCAGATGGCCACAACAGCCAGAGCTGCGCCAATCTGAAGCCAGGAGCCAGGAGCTTCTTCCAAGTCTCTCACGCAGGTGCAGGGGCCCAAGGACTTGGGCCATCTTCTACTGCTTTCCCAGGCCACAGCAGAGAGCTGGATCAACTGGGACCAGCCGGGACTTGAACCGGCACCTATATGGGATGCTGGCACTGAAGGTGGTGGCTTTACCCACTATGCCACAGTGCCGGCCCGACATTGATCCATCTTTAGCCTGTGGACAGAATGGGCACGTGACTATTTCCTCTGAGAAAGGTTTTTTCTACAACCAGTGTCTCCAGACCACTAAGGCCAGTGCTTTAGCTCACTTTTTGTTGCTGTAATGAAATACTCAAGAGTGGGGAATTTATAAAGAATAGAAGTTTATTTGGCTCTTGGTGCTGGAGGCTGGGAAATCCAAGAACTTGGTGCTGGCATCTGATCTGCACCTGATGAGGGCCTCGTGCTGCACCCTGACACGGCACCGGGCATCCTGTGGTGACAGAGCAAGGTGCTAGCAAGGTCTGGCTTCCTCTCATAAGGCCATTAATGCCGTTAGGGACCCCACCCCCATGACCTCCCAGAGGCCCCACCAGCCAATACCATTGACATGGTACTTGGGGCTTTAGCTGCCGATCCACGAACTCCTGGGGACACATTCAAACCATAGCAACCAGAGTCATCTGGTCTGCATCAGCCAGGCCAGCACTGGTGACTCCCTGCCGAAGACCAGAGCCTCCTGATCTAGGCCATTATCACCCGCTATTCTTTTAGATGAGGCCCAGTCAGTGAGCTTATCCACCCCACACTGAAGGAAGGGTGAGACAGCTTCGCAGTGGTGAGGGAGTGGGGCCAGCGAGGGAGCAGAGGTGGACTGTGCTCCAGGGCTGTGGCTATGATTGGATGCTCAGGATGGAGCCACAGTGGCTGGCTCTGCCCCTCCCATCCCCAGGTTGATGCGTAACCCCAGCCGTGCCCTGCTGCAGGCGATGATGGGCAAGCGTACTCTGGAAAGCTCTCTGGGTTTCCAAAGAGTGTGCTCCAGGCCCTGTAGCTGTGAGCCAGGGCGGGCTTTCCTTCCTTTAAGACGATCTAGGTCCAGTCCCCAAAGCCAAGCAGACTGCTGGGCCGCTGTCCAGAGATGGCGTCCCGGGTCGATGGTAGCAGGGATGATATTCTACGTGGGCCTGGGGAGAGGAGGCTGGGTGAAGCTCAAGTCCAGAGTCAAAGAGGTTGGCTCTGGGCTCCTGGAGGAGGGTGAAAATTTGCCCTCAATGTTGAGGTCTCGAGAACCCACTGGCTCATGTCCTCCCTAATCTTTGGTTACATCCTCACCACGATCCCACCCAGCCTCAAACCCTAATATGAGCCTGCTCCTCTGACTCTGTCCATGCGGTTCCAATGCTGTGCCCCTCCCCTTTGCACGGAGTCCCTCAGACTTGGGTTCTGAGAGGACATGTGGGGGTCCTACAGTGCTCTACTTCCCATACCTTGGCGCAGTGTTTCTCAAAGGCTGCTCCCTGGACCAGCAGCATCAGCATCCCCTGGAAACGTGTGATACACGTACATCTCAGGTCTCACCCCAACCCACTGAACCACAGACACTGGGAGGCAGCCCAGCGTCCGGCGTCCGAACAGGAAGCCCAGGTGACTGCGGCGCACGCTCAAATTTGAGAAGCAGTGCTCTGGACGTGATGGCTGAGAATCTGACCCATCTGGGTTTCTTCCCCCTAGAATTGGCCCTTCTGGAGGGGCAGTTCCGTCTCCTCGAGGAGGAGTACCCTCTGGTCTCGCCGAGATTTCCTGCCTTCTGGCTGAGATAGACGCCCCTTGTCCGCAGCAGTCCCATGTGGGTAAAGACCAGGGGAAGCCGGCCAGTTCAGCTGCTCCTCAGCCACCGCGGCCAGTTAGTGGGGTGTGGTTTGCAGCACAGACTTCTGAATGGTTTCTGTGGGTTGGGCAGTGGGCTATGCTCAGACCGTCTACACGCTGACCACCAACGGAATAGTTCCTTTTGTGTTCTTAAATTAATACCTATTCTAGGTTCGTGATATACCATTGTCTTTGGGTCATGCATGGTCCATTTTTTTGCTTCTTTATTTATCAATATAAGGAGCACCCATGAACGCATCACCCAACTCAATAACTGTAATGTAAATGTTATTATTAACTAGAATGTAATTAGCAACTAGAAGAGAATTTATTATTATTACTGTTAGAATGTAAATATGTTTGTTATTAAGCAGTAAATTGTTATTAATTAGAATATAAATATTAAGTAGAAATACCTTATTAATAGCTGCAATATTATTATATTTATAATTAATAAATGTAAATAAGTGAATTTATATCCACATAGTAAATCTCCATGAACCCACCACTTAAAGACTAAATTGCTACCAGTACCTTAGCATCTGCCTGGATCCTCTATCCCAACCTTTCTCCACCCAATATCCCCTCTAGATGAACTTTATCCTACATCTAGTGCTCCCTGTTCCCTGATTATTTAGCATTATCAGATTTACAAATATACTTCAAAAAGTTTGAGGAAAATCGAATTAGATGATAAGTTCATTTTGGTACAAAAAAAAATGAGATCCGTCCATCATTTTTTCATAGCACACATTCTCCGGGAGACTTCTGGAGGGCCCTCCTCTGTGTGAGCCTAAACCAGGTATGGGTTGGGTGCAGCTGTCTTTGGACTTGGTGCACAGTGTAGCCTGCAATGTGTGGCTCCTCCTCAATGGTCCCCAACTGGGTTTTCCGTCTCAGCCCAGCACTGCTGGCTTTGGGGGGCCCATTCAGAAGCACATCACATCACCGTGCAGCCCAGGAACCATCTCTGCAAATGGGCTCTGAGCTCAGGCAGTCTCTTTCCAGCTTTGCTATTCTGTGACCTTGAGTCATTTTCTAGGTCGAAGATGCTGCTTCTGGGTATATAGCTTTTATTATCCAAAAAGCTTGGGAATCCCCTGGGGAATACAATTCCAAATGTACCGCTAGAAAAATTATTGTATCCTAAAACCAACAGCCATTTAGCATTGAGAAGGGAAACCGGAAGCAAGATGGCATGCACTTCCCAAAAGCACTACAGAAAATCTTGCTAGAGGCCTGTGCCATATGTTCCCACCCCATCCTTGAACCCAGGCCCTGCCATACTTTGTCACCATTTAGCTGAGTGTCTTCTCCTTTAGCTGATGGGATCTACAGGGGGCAGGGCTAGCACGCAGGAAGGGAGGGAGGGGCACACAAAGCCAATGTTCATCTTGGTTGTCGTTTTCCAAACTTAGCACCAGACCTGGCACAGGATAGACATCCTAAGTAGAAGTTTGTTGAATGAAAAAAGGAGTGAATGAATGGAGCACACACTTGCATGTGGATTGCTGTGGGAGTTCTGGTCATGCTCACTTCAAAACAGAGAACAAAAGCTGTTCTAGAACCTGGAGAGACTGGGATGAGGCGGAGGCTTGAAGGAGGCGCAGAGGAAGGCTACGTCAGAGCAGGAAGCCATCTTCATAACAGGAAAGCTGTAATTCAGTTGTTCATTCTGGACGGTTAGAGACTGTGGTGGACTGGGGAGGGAGAGCCTTGCACACCGCTGAAGAGAACGCTGGGTGTCTTTGTAACCATCTGTGGGCTCACCACCGCACACAGCAATGTTCTAGATGCTTCCCCAGGACACTCTGGCTCACCAGGCCAAGGCAGCATTGCTTTGCAGGCCAGAGCCACAGCTGATGGATAAATGAAATCCTAGGTCACTTATGGAAGGCTTAAATTGGTTCAGTGCTATCCTAACACGTCATAGGTGTGGTGACCCTACAGTTTGCCTTTCAAGTAAGGACACTTTTCAAGTGAAAGGGAGACTAACAGGTGTAACACCAGGAAAACACCGGGACTGTCCCAGGCCCAGCAGGAGGTGTGGTTCCCCCCTTTGGGTATGATGTTTCCCTTTAATGTCTCATCACATCCTCACCACGCCTCAGGAGATAAATGTTGAGACCCATAATCTACAGAGGCAGAACACGAAACCAAGGGCAAAGTGGACACTGGAAACTGGGCGCCTGGTTGCCCAAGTAAACGTCTGTCCCACTCTGAACCCAGTGATGTCATGAGCTGCACAGCAGTTCCAGCCAGAGCTGTGTCTGTGCATTGCCGGGGTGGGGGTGGGGCGTTAACTCTTGCCAGGCCTGCTCCCCTCCAGATCTCTGAATTCAGGTCTCTTTGAGTTGAGACAAAACCTCCACATTTTACTCAGTTTCTTCTGATGGAGAACCAGGATTGTGGAAACTGGTTTAGACAGTCCATGGCTTGGCCAGCGCCACGGCTCACTAGGCTAATCCTCCGCCTTGCGGCGCCAGCACACCGGGTTCTAGGTCCGGTCGGGGCGCCGGATTCTGTCCTGGTTGCCCCTCTTCCAGGCCAGCTCTCTGCTGTGGCCCGGGAGTGCAGTGGAGGATGGCCCAAGTGCTTGGGCCCTACACCCCATGGGAGACCAGGAGAAGCACCTGGCTCCTGGCTTTGGATCAGCGTGGTGCGCCGGCCGCAGTGCGCCGGCAGCGGCAGCCATTGGAGGGTGAACCAACAGCAAAGGAAGACCTTTCTCTCTGTCTCTCTCTCTCTCACTGTCCACTCTGCCTGTCAAAAAAAAAAAAAAAAAAAAAAAAGACAGTCCATGGCTAACGGACTCGGCATAGAAATGCGATGTTTGGAGAACTTCTTAACCTTTCAATGTTGATGTCGAGGAAAAAAACCATTGTTCTCCAACCCAGAGCTGGGATGTGTTTTTGGGGCCCCTGTCGGAGGCAGGCTCCAGGGCTTGATGATGGGCAAATCTGAGTCACTGATGTCCCGGGGTTCTCAGAAGGCATCTGATTAGGTGCCAGAGGAGGCTGTGTAAGTCCCCTTGCAGGGAGGTCTTTAGGAAGGAGAGAGACACCTGTCTGAGCTGGCGTGGGTGGAGTGGGGGCGGGAGTGCTGTCAATCACACACCACCAGAAGGTATCTTGCGGCCGTTTATTTAGAGGGAGCTGGGAGCAGGTGGACTTTGCAGGGAGCAGTAGACTAGAAAGCCTGGCTGTGCTGGGGACGCAGGGCCAGAGAGGTGCCTCTCCCACCTTCGTGACCTTCTTTCCCCCTCCAAATGTGCAAGCTGCGCTTTCTCCCCATGACCTCCGGTTTGCACTGATGTCCCAGATGTACACATTGAAGGCTGCTCCACTCTCCATCCAAACCGCTGACATTTGATCAAGCCCGTTCATTGCAAAGGGCAAAGAAATACAGACTCCTCTTGGAGTTTCGGAAGATCTTAGCGGCTGCCTGCTCTGACCCTGTGCATAATAAGCCTTCAGCAGTGGTTCCGTGAGTGTCTCCACAAGTGGACCCCAGGTCTGCAAAACACACCTACTTCTTCCTGGTGAATTAAAAATCTGCCTTTTGGTAATCCCCATTGACTAATCTTTGCTCAGCCTCCAAAGCCATATAGAAGACGCCTGTAAGCCTTTCTGTGTGACAGTTTTATATTGTATTCTCCCCAAGTCTTCTCACTGTGAGCACTGGTGCTGAGCAAAGAGGCAGTCCTGGTGGAGGAAGGAAAGATACCGCAGTATGAAGAACTTTCCCCCACAGGGGTTCTTCTCCAGTCTGTAGGTGACCCATTGACGATCCCAATGTAACTGAACATTTTATGGGTACAGTGAAGCATCGTAAGGTATCTGCTCCTGGGGATCTTACTTCCGTATGGGTGGATGGGATGCTGTACATGCAGCAGTGAGCAGGCTTGGCATGAGCTCTGGCCTCATGGAGGCTGCAGCCCTGTAGAGGAAGCAAACAACTGGGGGGCGGAGGCAAAAGCATCCCCAGTGTGCTAGACACCGTTCTCACACAAGCTCAGGATTCTCTGGGGGCCCCTCCTCCAGGTTTGGGTAATTGAACGAGGTTTCCCAGAGGAAATGACCTTGGGTGAGGAGGAGCAGAGAGGCTGGTGAAGGAGTGAGGGGGAGTGTTCCAAAGCCAGCTGCTGCAGAGGATGGGGAAGACGGCCCCTAAGGCAGGAGCCCGCACACTTAGCTGGGGGAAGATACCAGGTGCGCAGAGCTGGTGGGTGGGGCTCGCTGGGGCAAATGCAGAAGTGCAAGCATCGTCACGGCTTTGGGTCAGGCGGTGACCAAGCTGGGGGCCAGCACTGGTGCCTCGAGAATCCTCCTTCATCTCTTCTGACCCAGTTAGGAAAGCACGGTTGGAACCTCACAGCAGGCCTGGGCCAACGTGCTCGTTCAGTTCAGGGCCCAGAGCCGCGGGCAGGGAAAGCCGTTTGTCGGATGCAGCAGCAAGTTCATGGGCAAACGGAGGAGCTGAGGGAAGTGGTGTAGCTGTGGAATTTGCACAAAGCTGTCGTTTAAGGGGAGACAGGACGGGCTGCTCTGCCAACCTCTCCCCCGCACTGTGTATAAGTCTTCACCCTGTGGAACAGTGCCATTTCAGGAGTTCATCTGCGCTACTGAGGTTGGCTGGAGGCATTCGTCATCGCTCCTTGGTATGGAGTTGGTTTCTCCTCTGAGCCCGAGTGTTGGTCAGCAGTCTCGAGTGGATGGAAATCTGGTGGAAAGAGAGGGCAGCGGGACTGAGTGGAAAGTTCTGGTGGGGTCTGGAAGCTTCCCCCTACTCAACAAGAGCGTTGGGTTCGGTGGCTTCACCGAGTCCCCTGGGAAGCCTGCACTCCTACGTGGGATCCCAGCCTCCTCTTTCTGGAGACTTCTCTGACTCTTCCCTCTCACCTGTCCCGTCCTTCACCTCCAGCCCCCGATGCCCCCTACACCCACTGGAAGCAGACCGTCTTCTACTTGGAAGACTACCTCACTGTCCGGAGAGGGGAGGAGATCTACGGGACCATAACCATGAAGCCAAACGCCAAAAATGTGGTGAGTACCAAGGCAGCCAGCCTCTGTGTGGCCAGGGCCAGCAAGGAGAAGGGGCCCGTGGAGCTCCAGGGCCCACCTGCCCAAGTTCTTGAGGGTCTTGCACACAGTCAGAGAAGTCACTGGGGAAGGCAGGCGGTGGCCATGTGTGGATGTGACCAGGCGTAGTTCAGAGCCTGCAGCCCTGGCCCCTAAAGACTCAGTAGTCTGCTGTGACCTCTCAGCCTTGGGGACAGCTTCCAGCTCTGCAATCAGAGAGCTTGAGAGCGGAGGTTGCTGTGTGGGAGGCGTCTACCTCATTTAGGACGAGCAAGGCCAGGAGCTAGGAGTCTGTGGTGCCCTAGAGGATATTTGGCCTGTCTTCAGCAGTCCTGGTGGACTGAAGACAAATCTGATTCTCTGTGAGCAACCCTGGCTGTGGACACGTGCACTAAACATCTACTGAGTACTCAGAAGGTTGTGCTGTGGAAGATTCTAGAACCCCAGGATGACGTCAGAGGGAATATTTTTATTTTAGAACAGGAAGAATTTAGGTTAGGCATCAAAAAAACTTCCTGTGAGGATAATGAGGCGCCAGATTCCTGAGGGCTGTTCCGGGGAACTTCTTTGCTAGGAAACCTTGAGGAAACTAGGGCTACCCATCCCCGGGGCACTGCGAGGCAGCCCAAGGCCAGGGAGGGGCTGTGAGCACCGGCCCAGACTAACGCTGGGCCTCTTTGCTCTCTCTCTCTCTCTCTTTGCAGCGAGACCTCGATTTCACAGTAGACCTGGATTTTAAGGGACAGCTGTGTGAAACATCTGTATCTAATGACTACAAAATGCGTTAGCACATGTGGGAAGCCGCAGAGAGCGAGCGAGAAAAAAAAAAAACCTCTCACTTCCATCTGCCGCGCTGTCCCAAGGAATCCTGTTAGCAGGACTACACACTCGAAAACCAGAGTTAGCAACTCTGCCTTGAAGATTGGGGGCCCGGCCACGGACAGAGGGCCCTGGGCTCGTCCGCTCTGCCCCGGGAGCCCCTCACGAAGGCTTTGCTGGCGCCAAGAAAGAGCAACCTCGTGTGCTGTGGCCGGGGCCCCGAAGCTGGAAAAGAACCCGTGTATCCCCCCTTGTCCTCCTTAACTGTGACTCTTTGCATGCTGCAGGCATCTAGGACAGATTGCTCCCACTAGAACCTGGAGACTTGGTGTCTTTGATAGCATAAGCCAGATTATCTGTCTGTGCGGTGGTGTGTGCGTGCGTGTGCGTGCCTACAGCATCTACACTAGTTTATCTACCCACAGACGCCTGTATATGCATGCATATACGACCAAGTGGGTATTCTCCGGAGGGTCGTGTGCGTGCGCGTGCGTGCGTGCGTGCGTGTGCGTAGAACATATATTACTCTCAGAGGAGATTCTGTTGCTTTCGAATAGGACTTTGTTTTGTGATTAGTTGCCCCTCCCCTGCCCCTTACCAGATGTTAAGCAGCTCTGAAACGTTCTCTGTACTAGCTCTGGTCGTCTTTGCACTAGACCGTGGCTCCGAACCCTGAGCATAGGACCACAGACTCTGTGAGCGCCCAATAAACACACATGAGAACGAAGCGATGGGAAGTCGTGCGTTCCTGGGGCTCAGAGCGGGAGGGCAGTGGGAGCCTAAGGGAGCAGCAGCTCCCTGTGTCACAGCCAGGGAAATCGGGGCTGGGCTGTGAGTATCTCCCCTGCGCACCGTCAGGGTCCCGGTGAGAAGAGCCTGGAGCTGGGGCAGAAGCTCAGGTGCTCCCCTAGAATGCTCCAGAAAGGGAGGCCACGGACAGACAGCCTGGGAGCACCCAGCAGCCCAGAGACCTGTCGGAGGACATCCCGCCTTTGGGGAGGAATCCCTGTGGGATGGACTTGCCGAGTGCTTGGTCAGGCTGCTGGAGTGTTCGGATTTGGGTTTGGTTTCAGCTGCTCCCCCACCTCCTCCTCTCCCGCCCCCTTCTCCTCCTCCCCCTCATCCATCTTCCCTCCTCTTCCCTCTCCTCCCCCTTCTCCCTCTCCTTCTCTTCCTCCTCTTTCTCTTCCCTTTCCCCTTCTCCTTCTTCTTGAGAGACAGAGAGAGCGAGGGCTCCCATCTGCTAATTCACGCCCCCAAATGCCCACAATGACTGGAGCCAAATCTGGGAGTCAGGAACTCCATTCTGGTCTCCCATGCAGCTGACAGGAGCCCCGTGATTTGAGCTATCACCATTGCCCCCTCCCTGCCCAGGGTCTGCAGAGTCCACACTAGCAGGAAGCTGGAGACGGGCGTTGAAGCAGGGACTCTGATAGGGGACATGGGAGTCTTGACCAGCATCTTAACTAAGCCTCTGTTATCCTTCAGCTTCTGAGACCATCCGTCTCATCTACAAGGGGTCATAAAAAAATTCATGGGAAATGCCAATTATATATATATATATATATATATCTTTTAAACTGTGAATGGATTTGAAAAAAAAAAAAAACCTTGCCAACCTGAACTTATCTTTTAATTCCACTTTCCCACAACCTTCTTGAAGTCTCTCTGCACGTCACCTCCCCCTGGGAGAGACTTCCTAGATGCTGGGGCGGAGGAGGGGCCACTTGGAGAAGGTGGGTGGGGCTGATGGGCCCTGGGAAGACCTGAAGCTTGGCAGTGCACAGTGGGGGAGTGTGGGCAGTGGTGGTGCACTCGCATGGTAACAGCAGAGTCCAGCGACAGCGGTCCTTACATTTCCATGACCTTCTGATGTCTATGTACTTTATCAGCGTCCCCAAAGTTCTGGGTGTGAGACGTGCAGCTATTATCATTATGACTTTGGTCCGCCGAAGCCCGGGAGGAGCAATGGAGGATGGTCAACTGGGAAAAGTCCCACATTGCCAGGAGCCCAGGGGAGCCGGCAGGTTGAAGATCTGGGGGCTCCAGGCAAGCACTGCTAATCCTAGGGCTGGAGGCAGGGAGTAGGGCAGGGGCCAGGCTGAACAAGCATCACCTCTCTGTGCCGCCGGGCTGCTGAAGGGAAGTCGAGGAGCAGTCTCCCCTACCCACTCTCAGTACTGCTCCGGGAGAATCGTAATTTCCCTCTGATTCAGAGGAAAATAAGCAATATCTGGTCCTACCACGTCCTGAATGGAAGTCAGTCTATTAAATGTGGTCTCTGCATCACAGTAGAGATGCTTTTAAAGATGACTTCACTTATGAAACCTATTTTCTCTTAGACACTTTGTAAAAAAAAAGATTGTTTATTTGAAAAGCAGAGAGAGAGAGAGAGAGAGAGAGAGGGATCTCATGCACTGGTTCACTCCCCAAATGCCCACAACAGCCAGGGATGGGCCAGGCCAAAGCCAGGAGCCAGGAGCTCCATCCAGGTCTTTCACGTGAGTAGCAGAGGCTCGGGGACTGGGGTCTTCACCTGCTGCCTCCCAGGGGGCGCAGTAACGGGAGCTGGAGTCAGGAGCTGCAGCCGGGACGCAGGTCCAGGCTCTCAGGTCCAGGGTATGGGCACCCATACCCTTAACCACTTAACCACTGCCAAAACATCCGCTTCCTCTCTCCTTTGGAGACCATACAATACCCAGGAGTGACTTTCTCCCTTTCTCAAAAACACCTCCCTTCCTTCCCAACTCCTCTCCAGACCTGCTCTGTGGAACCTCTTTTGTGAGGTGTGTGGGGGAGGGTACGTGGGCCACTCTGTGCTGTCCTGCCCTCCATCCCAGGCCTGGTCTCGCTCCCCCACTGGACCACAGGCTGCAAGGGTGGGGTCCTGCATGAGCAGAGCCGGGGAGCAGTGGCTGGTGACAAGGCAGCGGCCGATGCCAGCCCTTGCTTGATTTCCAGGGACCACTAGGCACTAGTCTCGTCTGTACCCCTTGGGAACCAGCAGCGTTTTCCTGGCTTTCATAAAAGCTACCCCATTAGAGCTGCCTCCCCTGGATGGATGCGGGCCTCCGTCCTCTCTCTGAGCAGAAACAAGGCTGTTGCCAGCCCTACCCAGTCCCCGTCTCTGCAGCCTTCCTCTCCTCGGGGCACTGCGTCCGGCACACCACCTGCAGGTCCAGCCTGGCTCTGGGTCTCAGTGGCTGCCTGGAGGGTAGCCCATCTGCTGTGGTTTGAAGGCAATGTGTCCCCCCCAAAAAACTCGCACTGAGGCTTGGGGAATGCAGCAGTGTAGGGAGGTGTTTGGGTGGGAGGGTCAGAGCTGTCAGGAACGGATGAACGCCTTTCTCCCTTGAAGGAGCTGTTGCTCTCACAGGACCGGATCCGTTACCGCACGAGCAGCTTGAAACGAAGCAAGGACCATCTCGTGTCTGTCTCTTCCACACACGCCCCGTCCGTTCGCTTCCCGCCATGGGTTGGGGCAGCATGAAACAAACCCTCGCCAGTGCCATGGGCCTGGACTTCCCATTTGCAGAAGCAGGAACCAAAATCAACTTCTTTCCTTCTATTGGTATTTTGTTTCAGCAATGAAAACAGATGCCACCTCTGTGCTGTCCCTGCCTGGGGTGTGTCCTAGTCCAGTGGGCAGTTCCGGTCCCTGGGCACCCTCCTTGTCCTGCCTTCCCTCTGAAGTGGCGCTGTCCCCAACCCAGTCCCACACAGAACAAGCTCCTGCTTCTTGTTTTATTTTATTTTTTATTTTTTTATTTGACAGGTAGAGTTATAGTCATTGAGAGAGAGAGAGGGAGAGAAAGGTCTTCCTTCCGTTGGTTCACCCCCCAAGTGGCCACTATGGCCGGAGCTGCGCCAATCCGAAGCCAGGAGCCAGGTGCTTCTTCCTGGTCTCCCATGCGGGTGCAGGGGCCCAAGCACTTGGGCCATCCTCCACTGCCTTCCCAGGCCACAGCAGAGAGCTGGACTGAAAGAGGAGCAACCAGGACTAGAACCAGTGCCCACATGCGATGCCGGCACTGCAGGCGGAGGATTAACCAAGTGAGCCACGGCGCCGCCTCTGGGAGCTCCTTCTTCTTGCTACCACCCTTCCACCTCCACCCCTCGCTGCTGCACTGGGGGTCCCCAGCCTTGTTTCTGGGGCTGGCCTCCTAAAGGAGCATTTTCTCAACCTCTGCTACCTCCCTGGGGTCCTGAGTGACACTTCTCTGCACGCCTTGTTTCTGGGGACAGCCCCTCCGGGGGTCCACTCGAGCTGGCCTTAGACCCTTGGGCTATTACCTGTTGTACCAAAGCCTTGGGCTGTTTCTTAGGAGTTCAAAGATGAGCCTGACTGCTCAAAGATGGGTGATGTCTTCCATCTCTGCCTAACCACAGTGGATGCACTTGGCTCCAGGCCTGGAGGCTCCAAGGTCCCCATCCTGTTGGAAGGAATTAACCCCTTTTCAGCAAAGGCTCATACACAATGTATTCAGTAATTAAAAGATGAACCAACACGCATTCCTTGGCTGCAGGCACTGAGCTAGGGACCAGCAGACCAGCAGTTGGCAGCATGGTCTCTGACTTTGGGGTACCCCCTGGTTGCTAGTCTCTGGGAAGGCAGGGCCTGCTTTTGCCTTCACCCTGAGCAGTGAGGCCCTGACCCCATCCCTGTCACCAACTCCCGCTCTCCACGTCTGACCCTGTGACCCACCCACAGCTCCTCGCCCAGCTTTGCAATACAGCTTCCGCCAGCACAGGGGTGACTCGCGCTGCTGCCTTAGCTCATCTCATTCACTGGCACTTCCCTGCCATCCGTGCACTCCACCAGCGGTCCCAGCCTGTCATTGTCAGAGAATGGCAGTGCCGAGGGAGGCCGAGGACTCTGGTTACGTCAGCCACAGATCACGTCTCACAGCAGACATGCTTGAGGGACCCTCAGCAGTTGGCTGACACCTCGACCTCAAAGGCAGCAGGAGAAAGCAGGCAGAGAAAGCTCCTAGCAGGCAGGGTGGCTAGGCCCAGCCCCTGCCTTCCCCGCTTCCCAAGGCAGCCATCAGTCACTGGACAACTCTGCCACATGGCCTGAGTTTGGGAGTCAACAGACCTGGCGAAATCCCGGCACTGGGGTGGGCATTGAATCGTAGTGGGCTATGCCTGTGACACTGGCATCCCAAGTGAGTACCGGTTTGAGTTTGAGTCCCAGCTGTTCCACTTCTGATCCAGCTTCCTGCTAATGCACCTGGGAAAGCAGCAGAGGATGGCCCAAGTACTTGGGCCCCTGCACCTACATGGGAGGTCTGGATGGAGTTCCAGGGCCCTAGCTTTAGCCTGGCTGAGCCCCAGTCATTGCAGCCATTTGGGAAGTGAACTAGAAGATGGAAGACCTCTCCCCTCCCCCACTGTAACTCTGCATTTCAAATAAATAAATAAATCTTTTAAACAACCAAGAAATCCCAGCACTCCTGCTGACTAATGATGTCACTTTGGACAAGTCCCCTTACAGCTGTGAGACTCAATAGCTCGACCTACCAAAAGGAACTAACCGAGAGTGACATTAAATCAATTCAGGAGGTGTGCGGAGGCTGCGAAGTGCAATGGAAATCGCGTTCTGGTCACTGCTGTGATGAAAGTCTCACCTGCATAGCCAGGCTCAGGTCTGCAAGGCTCCCGTGGCCCCGCACGGCGGCCGGCACTGCAGCCAGCGCTGCGGGGAGCAGCTGGCCGCGCCCCGGG